CTTACTTTGGAATCTAGGTTAATACAGGAGAATGTAGCCCTGGGAAAATGTGTTCTTTCTAATGTAGTTGATGCTCTGTGTTTAGTTCGGCATCCCCTGTGCCATCACCTGCTCCTGGCTTCTACAGTGGACGAGTTTTAAACTGGTGTGAATAACTTAACAGTGAATTGAGTGAGAGCTGAGGTGGGAAGGGAATGTCTCTCTGTGTGCGGAGAACTGAATGTTTTGACCGTTTTATTCAGGTACACACCATCTCAGCAAGGCGTGGCTTTTAACTCTGGAGCAAAACAGAGAGTTATTCGGATGGTAGAAATGCAGAAGGACCCCATGGAGCCTCCAAGATTCAAGTAACTATTCAAAACTTCTTCATGGCAAATAGAAGATTCTAAAGTGCATTTCCATACAAAGTGCTGATCATGTTTATTTTTTTAATCATTCAGAATTAACAAGAAAATTCCACGTGGACCACCTTCTCCTCCAGCTCCAGTAATGCACTCTCCCAGTAGAAAGGTATGAAATGCAGTAGCTGTTCTCAGGTTTGACTTCTAGGTTTGTTCCTATCTGTGTTATCTCCGTGCGTCTTCTCCTTCTTCTTCTTTTGATGTGATATTAAGTGATAAACTTGGTGCTCACTGTGGTCTTCTGTGCTTGGGCAGGTCTGAGAGTATTTTTTTTTTTTTTTCTCCCCATATAATTCATCAAAGGTTAGGTACGTTCCTCATATATTTTATGCAGGTCTGCATTACTGGAGCTGTCCATGGTTTGGATGAGTTGACTGAGGCTCTAGCCTTGGTTCACTCATGCTGCTTGTAGGCAACACTAGAGAATTTGTTTGTATTTTTAAAGGTTATCTTCCCTCTGGGAGATGAGCGTAGTTGTTCATGAGTTTCCCACAGCCTGAGCCACTGTTAAACGTTTGAATGTTAACAAGCTTGCTGTAAGTCTTGTGGTCTGTGTGATGATAGTTTGAGAAGGGGGTGGCTGAATAGCTGTGTCATAACTTTCTTTTGCGTTAGCAAAGGTATAGTACACAAACGACCGTTTAACTGCTGCTGCTAAGAAGGGTTGAGGTTTTTGTAGCAGTGTCCTGAACTTTGTACTCTAATTTGTCTAAATAGTTTCATAGCTGTCTGTGATAAAGAAAAGTGTTTCTTTTTGCTATAATTCTAAAGACTTCCTTTCCTCTCCCAAATCAGATGACCGTGAAAGAGCAGCAAGAGTGGAAAATTCCCCCGTGCATTTCAAACTGGAAAAATGCAAAGGTAATTAAGTTGTCATAAACTCACCCTCCTAAAATTGCACTCTGCTGGGAGACTTCTGTGAATGATCTACAGCCTGAATAGCATTAGTTTTAAAGCCCTAGAGTTCAGTAAACTGGCTGCTTCCAGCGTGGGTAACACACAATTGTACAGCTCGGTTTTTTTCTTCCCTACATATTAGGGTTGTCAAATTGACAGGAGTATAGAGCTGAGAGAGAATATATTACTTCATGGCAGAGATTGTACATTTTGAGAGGCGAAACATCATTAGATAAAATCCCTGTAATAGTGCAGTATGTGGAGCCTGAAACCAAATCCTCTGGTGCTCACAAAGTAAAGCCATCTAAACTGAAAAAGTAAAAGGTAATTTTTAGAGAATCAAGCATGGTTTTTTGATACAGCAGTCTGAGTCTCCAGAAAGTTCTGAAAGTTCTTCTCTTTGCATCCTTGCGCTAATTAATTTTAATCACTAGTTAGCTTAGCTATTTTTATTTCTTGTAAGAGTAGGTCTGTGCTGTCCCTTTGGTTTTATCACTAGATAGGGGTGTGTGTGTGTGTGTGTGTGTGTTAATGTTCAGAGGGAAGGTAGAATTTATAATATGCTGCAATGACTGGTCTAATAGTTCTTCTCAAACTTACCAAGCTCTTGTTGTGAGGCAGCCTTTCCAAATGGCGGAAGGAAAAGCTGCATGTTAGGATATTATTTCTTCTGCCCCAACACAGCTGCATAACTGGGACTGACACTAATTAGTAGATCAAATTTTAGGTTACAGATGCGAAAACCAAAGCAAACATTTTGTAGAGCTCTCTATAAAGAATCTTATCTCGTCTATAAATACTTTTTTGCTTTCAAAAGCTGAAGCCTAAATTGGCATTTAGTGTCTCTTGCTTTTGCTGACAGCCTTGCCCCTTACTTTGTCATTCTGGATCATCTAACCTTTCGATAGATAAAAACGGTTCAGGGAAGTTAAATTATAAGCACAAATGGGAAAACTGCTTAGACACTAGGAAAGCCGTTGTCTGTAGTTTTTAACACAAAGCAAAGAGTGGAGCTTATTGATCAAAAACTATCATTCTCATTCTGTTAAGATGTCACTTGAAGGGAAAACATAATCCTGATGAGGAAAAAAATGGAGAGAAGCTAGTATTATCTGGTACAAATTTGAAATACACATAAAGCAGGTCCACTGAGGCATGTTAATGATAGGCCAAGTTCTGTGGGTTGTTTTGTTTTATTGCACAATGCTTGTTTCTGTGATTAACTGTCTGTCTATTTCAACTCCAGGGTTATACCATTCCATTAGACAAGCGCCTGGCTGCAGATGGCAGAGGACTGCAGACAGTTCACATTAATGAAAACTTTGCCAAGCTAGCTGAAGCTCTCTATATTGCTGACAGAAAGGTCAGGTGATTGTTTAAACGGGTTTTTTCCACCTTCTTTGTATGTTCGTTTCCTTAGAAAAATCAACTTTGAATAGGTTCTAGCTCTTTAGTTTGTCATAGCCCCAAGATTCTTGAATCAGTGGTTCAGCATGGATTAACCCATTGGAGTTCATGGCTTCTGTTTCTCAGCTCTAATTGCTGTGGTTATCTGGCTTTGAATTTTGCCTCTATGACTCAATTCCTGCCCTGCTTACTGGGTAACTCCAAGACAGAAGATAGGCTTTCATCCCAGGTGCTAGCTTTGTATTGTTTTAACTAGGGATCTTATGTATGTAGGCTCGTGAGGCTGTAGAGATGCGTGCCCAGGTGGAGAGGAAGATGGCTCAGAAAGAAAAGGAGAAACATGAAGAGAAGCTCCGAGAAATGGCCCAGAAAGCCAGAGAGAGGAGAGCAGGGATCAAAACCCATGTTGAAAAAGGTACATTGCTTTGTTACTAGGATGCTGTAGGGGTTTTTTTAACCTCTGTAAGGTGTACATTGGGATAAATAACCTGAGAGCTTATAATAGCTAAATATTGACTGTAATTTCTGAGCATGACATCTGCATTTCATGTCTTTACTGGATCAGCCAGTGAATTAGGTTAGTTAACGGGGGTCTATTTTGATGGGATCTGAATTTGAACGTGGTAGCTGTATGTCAGTGTATAGATGTTTAGGAGAACGTTCAAAAATTCAGAGATGTCACTGGATCACAGTGTAAGTAACAGCTTTCATGGACTGTTCTAACCTATTTTTTTTTTTTAAGAAAGGCTTGTTGCAGATAAAGAGCAACATTGGTTGCGTGAGGACAACAAGCAGTGGAACAGGTTGTCCAGAGAGGTTAGCAGTCTCTGTCCTTGGAGGTTTTCAAGACCTGAGTGGGCAAAGCCCTGAGCAACCTGGTCTGAATTCAGCTTTGCTCTTGTTCTGAGCAGGAGGTGGGACTAGAGACCTCCCGAGGTCACTTCCAGCCAGGGTGATTCTGTGATACTGAGGCACGGAATGCTCTTGGAGGCACAGAGAGATGCCTACATGCTTGAATTATGTTTTTATACTAACATGAATTAAAAGGCATAAATATTGTACAATGTGACGTGTAGGTGTTTTCAGGTTTTACTTCCTAGATAAGCAAGTACTCTTAAGTTTTTTTTGAAAGCTAAGAAAACATGTCTGTCTTACACCGGTTGAGGAAGACATATGTTTTTCCTTATGTTCTGTTCAGTTTGCTTAAAATGTAAAAATGTACATAGTGCTAAGGGTCACCTCTCTTCTGTACATAAATAGTGAATTGAATCACTGTGCCAGTGACTGTGGCATAGTTGATTCAAATTTCAAGCATTTGTATATAATTAGTAATCTCATATTTGTACAGAGGATGGAGAAGCTAGAGAGAGAGATGAAATCAGACATGACCGGCGCAAAGAGAGACAGCATGACAGGAATCTCTCCAGGGCAGCCCCTGACAAAAGGTAAGTTGCAGAAGAATACTGCTTTATTCCTGAACTGGCACTGGCTTCCCCATTAGGTAGACTTACATAGAGCTTTTCCATTTTGCTTGATGCAAGTGCCTGAATTATGCAGATACTTGTGCATATACTTAGTAGTATGAAGTACCAGTTCATTTGTTGGTATGAAATGATATCACTGCATTAGAGTACTGTAGTGTTCCTTTGATAAGGGTTAAAAGCTCTAGTACCGTTGTTGGTTATGTGCAGAAAATATTTGGATTTGCAATTATAAGACTTGAAGAATATGTAAAAGGTATTTGCCTCATACCTTCCTAGCAACTTAAGAGTCCAGCATGCTAGTTTGTAGTGATTAACATAGCACTTAATTGTGTAATCTCTCCCTCCCCTCCCCTTCTTGCCCTCCCCCTTTTTTTTTCCTTTTTTTTTTTTTTTGGAGAATTTGAGCTTTGAATAACTTCAGCCAAACATCTCTGACCAAGGAAATTTAGGATCCTCTAGATGTAAGGAGGAGTAGTGTTTTGTTTGTTTTATTAGAACTTCAGTATATTCAGATTTAATTAACATGTTGACAATGAAGCTTGAAACCTGGATCCTGTAACTTCACTGAGACTGGGTTATCATTAGTGGTTTTATTTATTCAACCTATTCATTTGAATTGAGCTTAGATTTATGAGTGTAGGCTGAAGTATCTTGTTTGCTCAAGCCAGTGAGATTTCTGAGCACAAATGGTTTCTGGAGGCTTAAAATCTCCAATATCTTAAAATTAGATTGCTCAGCCTTCCTAGAATATAATTACACTGGTTCTTGCAAAAAATAAATATGACATTTTGGACCAAGTCAGCTTGATGTAAACTGCAGATAGTGTAAAGCAAATTTAAATGTCATGCCCAGCTGAACATAACTTTCCCGAATGTTTCCCTTGCCAGGAGACAAATCTTAAATGTTACATAGTAAGGAAGGGCAAAAGTCGAACTCTAGCTCCCAAGAGAAATTGTTAGTAATTAATACAGCAATCAGGCTGCAGTTGAGCATGTAAACCAATATAGTTTATCTGACTTAATAAAATTTAATTTTTAATTCAGGTCAAAGTTGCAGAGAAATGAGAACAGAGATATCAGTGAAGTTATTGCCCTAGGGGTACCCAACCCCAGGCCATCCAACGAAGTCCAATATGATCAGAGGCTGTTCAACCAGAGCAAGGTAAAAATACCTTTTCACAGCTGTGTAGCTTTCTAAGAGAAGGACGTGCAAACAGCTCATCTCTCCTTTGTGGTTATGGCTAGAGTAGCGGAGGGACCCTGTTCTCATGGATAGTGTGGATGAGCTCTGAAAGGAGACTCAACATAACTGATAAAGAAACTGTTCATCTCCTTTATGGTGTAGCTATTGCAACAAAAATTGGGTAATTTGAATCGGCAACAGGATTAAAGGGTTTTGGGGGTGGGGGGAGAAAGCTATTTTGCCTTCAATCTGGAGTGAATCCATCTTCTTTTATATAAATATACTGATTGAATAAGAGAAATTTTCTCTGAGAGAGAAGCAGGTAAATACTTGCCTTTCCCATTATTGCCTATGTTAAAAATCCATCTTAAGAGATACAAATAATTAACAGCAACATTTATTTTCTGTTTATTTTGTACTATTCAGAGATAGAATAGGTTAGGCATCACAAAGTCCCTGAATAGTCCTGCAGTTTATGAATCAATCTTCCTAATTTTTTCATATCTCCAGTGAAAGACTAGCAGGCAGAAGGGAAAGCTAATGTATCAGAAGAGAAGAAGCAGGCATTTCTCCTCCTTTCACAGTTTACATAAGCTTCTGTGTGATTTGGATCAGTTGGCTTAAATCATGTTTTCCAGAAGTTCTAATGAATATGCATTTCCATATCATTTTCACTTGCTATTGTAGACAGCTGTACTTGCAAGGCAGACTGAAGTGATCGATCCATTATTCTGAAATGCAAATGGCTAGTAATCCTTCCTGTTGCTTTCTGGAAGAGAAGAGGTGTCCCTGACTGAGGCTCGTAATAATTGGACTTAAGCCCAGACCCAAAACCATACATATGTTGCATAATTTAAGTGCTTGAACTCATCTGAAATTGATAGTCTTATCATCTTTATGAATCTGGATCACACTACAAGTGTATCTTGATGTTAAAGTAAATTAGCTAAAGTTCTGCAGACTGATTTGCATTACGCTGCTGTGGTCATTCTTCTCCTTCACAGGGTATGGACAGTGGCTTTGCTGGAGGAGAGGATGAAATTTATAATGTTTATGACCAGCCTTGGAGAAGTGGGAAAGATATGGCCCAGAACATCTACAGACCAAGCAAAAACGTGGATAAGGACATGTATGGTGATGATTTAGAGGCACGAATAAAGACTAATAGGTAAGAAAATTATTGAAGAATACTCTCATCCAGCACTCTGAAATTACAAGCAACTGACCATCATCTCTTCTCCTGCAGATTTGTACCTGACAAAGAGTTTTCTAACTCGGATCGTAACACCAGAGGAAGGGGTAGAGATGGACCAGTTCAGTTTGAGGAGGATCCATTTGGTCTGGACAAGTTTCTGGAAGAAGCTAAGCAACACGGTGGTTCCAAACGGCCATCTGATAGCAGCCGCCCTAAAGAACATGAGCATGAGGGCAAAAAGAGGAGGAAGGACTAAGTGCCTCCTCTTCTTGAGGAGCAAGGAAATGGACTACAAACTTGGACTTCATGCAAAAGGCATTTTTACTATCACAGTTGTGTGCAGGGGGGGTGGCAGTGTAAACAAGCAGTCCACAACTTTGTGCTGTGTGGATATATTATATATATATATATATATATACACACACACACACACATAGAGTAATTCTTCTACATAGGACAGTTACCCATGGAAAGCGGAGGAAGGCAGACCACTGAAATATTTCACGGGGAATTGTTCTTTTACAAGTACTCTGACTTTGCTAATTCCCTGTGGCCTGGCATCTCAGAGTAAGAATGTAAGCCCTTCCTACAGCTTTAGGTTTTGTAGATAGCTAAAGCTTTTACTGCATATGTTAAGCTCCCCTGGTGTACATAATTACCCTGTCTTATGCTGTAATAGGGATGCTAGAGAGCTTATGGTTCAGTGTTTCTTTAGTGTGACCATAGGTGGGGTTTTTTTTGAACCAGGAGGGGAAGCAGCTGGATTCTGTTCTAAATGAAATATTCATTCATAGTTTCTAAGTGATCTTTATTTTAGTTTCTTTACATTTAGTGAAATAAAACCTCCTTCCACTGCTCACTCACTCTGAGTCTTCTTTTGGCTGAATGCGTCTTCTACCTCGCTGCTGTCTGAGGGAGAGCTGAAAAAGATGGAAGTTAATCAAGTTAGTTAGGCAGGAAGGTTTGATACTCTTCATTTGTCTTCTAAAACAGTCTTATGGAAGGCAGATAGGTCTGTAACCTGTTCAGTTTCTTGAGCCATAACCACAAATGCTAAGATCCTGACAGGAAGGCTGGATATGATTTGCATAGCAATGTCTAATTGTGTCAGCAAGATGCATCTTAAAAGCTTCTTGGAATTTCAAGTGAAACCTAACAGAAGGTAACTGTCTATGGTGAGCCTAGAAAAAATGGGAGAAATGCTAGTACACTTTGCTTCTAGAGCAACTTTCATTTTTCAAAAAATGAAGATGACTAAGTACTGCTTGTCTTCTGCTTTTTGTTTCACTGTACAGAAGCCTCTTAGCTCTTGTGTCTTTAAAGGACACTCCTTAACCCCTGAGGCAGATAAGTGAATGTAGCTGTTTTACAACTGCAAGAATAAAAAGCAGCAAAGTAACTTCCAAGAATCTTGAGAAAGTCATCTACGTTAATCTTACGGCTTATTTTGATAACCGCAGACAGATAACATCCTGCGTTATTTTCAGCTCAATTTACCAGGCTTTAGCCTATTGCCTGGCTTCTCAGTTCCACAATTAAATTTAGCAGACAGCTGCTTAATTTCTGCTTCTAATTACAAACAACTGTGGTACAACTCATAGGTCAACTCTTTTTAGGAAGATGTACTAAGTAACTACCAGCACTGAAGATTTCCTTAGTGCTATGAACCATGTCAAGGTTTATCACAATCAGTATACTCTAGGCATCCCTGAAGTCTCTCACCAATTCATTTTAATGTTAACATCTCGTAATGTCTGAAGTCTGGAACCTGCTTCTTGGAGAGATATTAACTATTTGCAAAGAAAAGTACTCAAAGAAAATAATTGCTCATGTCCACTGCAGCATGCTGCTTATTGTTCCTGGTTCTTTCCAAATTATTAGGTCTGAAGCATGTAGTAAGTCTGATTCTTGTAAAGACAAGTTGTCTAAGTCTATAAGTTGCCACAGTAATTTACCCCCATTGAGTGACCGTTAAGGCAAGATGTTAATGGTTTTGACAGGAGACCTGCTAACTTATTAATAGCTTTGGGCAGTCAGTGACCCCAAATATACCACTGTCCTTTTATCCTTGTTTTCTGTCTTAACACTACTGTATACCAAGTGTTTGGAAAGCAGTGGCTCTTTTAATTAAAAAAAAAAAAATTTTGCTCTCCAGTCACTGCAATAAAGCTGAACAATAGAGTTGTCCAGCTCTAACAGACATGTTGACAGCATGACACACTACTTCATATGTGTAGGAGACCAAAGGGTTTTTAGACTGATGCTGTAGGCCCTTTTTTGATACAATATACTAATGTACTGAAATTTCCAAGTAGTGTCATATTTTCTCCTTACCTGTGTTTAAAAGGTTACAGCTAGTGTCCTTCTAAGTAAAAAAGCTACACTACAGCTAACTTACAAAGTTATCCTGAACACATGAAAGGAGAAAGCTGTGTTCTCCTTGAGCTTTTAAGAAAGGATAGTCCTGTCACCAACTACCTGTTTTCACTACAGTTAAAGGTTAGGTTTAAATTCCTTGTCTTCCCTTTTCCCCCCTGCCCCCAATGTACATGAAGATGTTGGAGTCCACCTGCAGAAACCTATCTGAGGAATAGTAACTAGCTGCACAGCTGTTCCTGAACAGTCTTGCCATATTCATGTTCTTTTAGCTTAGCACTGCAGGGGTTCCGAGCTCTGGATATGTTGCAGAGCCTAGCTAGTCAAGCTGGGAGTGGGTGGGGATAAACAAGCGTTACTCATTTTAAAAGACTACACTAAAAGCACACTAAGTGGCAAAGCGATTAACCTTCCTTGAAACTAGTAGGGCAGAGTTACTACGTCCAAAAGAAGGCAGAATTATTAAAGGAATTAACACATCTATTACCTTGGCACCCTCAAGTATGTGGGAGTCCTTCTGAAGCACGTTCTGAACATCTTCTGGAGTCGAGAATTTAATCCAGCAATAGCGTTTGTGAAAGCCTGTGTCTCGGTCCTAATTACCGATTAAAAACAAAATTCAATTGCTGTAAAACGGATTCACATAGGCTGTTAGAATTTCATATAAATATTCACTGCAAGGATTCAGGAATTATCAGAAAAAACACCTGCTTTTTCAGAAGCCTGTTTCACACTTTTCAAGATATTTATTCTTACTAACAACATGAGGTGGCCTAGCAGAGGCTGTTTTGCATTCCTTTCTCTCAAATTGAGTCCAGCACTCATACAAATTTAATACCTTAAGTTATATTTGAAGACTGGAAAAACACATGGCTAGTTGTTTCAAACTGCAGGCAATATCTACTATCAAGCCAGTCACAACAGAACTGACATTTAAATGGCTGCTTGATTTGAAAATAAGCCTGCCCAAGTACTTAAAAAGGATTCAGCAAGATAAAGCAGCTGTTTAAAATACTAAGAAAGCAGGCTGCAATTCTAGTTGACAAGCACAAAACTGCACTGAAAAGGAAGAAGAAAAAAAAAAGTTACTTTTAAAAATAATTTGCCAGTCAAAGAGAAAGTTGTCAGTAAATGGGAGAACAATGCAGAACAGCCAGGTCTACCAGAGTGCTTATTATCCCAAGCTGTACAGAAGAGGCCGCGACAGCTCTGCCACTGAATTCAGTAAGCTTCAGCAATATCTGGAAACGCTGCTAATCATGCCTGAAGCTTATACTACAAGGTATTGTAGTCACATTGCACTGTTTTGGTATCCCAGGGAGATCTTAATCAGGGTAGATATTTGTAACAGAAATAACTCTGTCAGTTTTAAAGCATTAATGCTCCCAAAGCAGTCATTAAAAAAAAAAAAAAACCACATACATGTGCACAGCAGTTTAGCTCTAATTGATGATGAAGGAAGGTTTACAGTAAGCTGCCAGCCTTGGCAATGAACAACACAGCGTTCCAGCCACAAGGGACAGACTACAGCAGGCAAAAACCTACTGAACACGTCCTGAACTTAAGTTTTCAAAAACAACCAGATTGTCTCTACCTATTTTTCTACATTTCCAAACTAGTCTTGAACTGATACTGAACCCAATTTAATTGAAGTTCACTACACGTTGAGCCTAGTTTAACTGAAGATTACTTAATGTGGAGAAATATAGGCAGGCAGGAGAACCGCCGCTCCATCAGCAGTTACCTGCAATCCACAACAGAGTAGAAGAGAAACGCCTTTTTTTGACAGTTTGTCTCTAAGAAACTTCACTAGACGCTAGCACCCTTAATCAACCGCTGATAGCGTGGATAACCTAAACAGCTAAGGGGCAACAGCTAACAGCTCGTCCTAAAGCGGATGTGGTTCCTGTGCGAGGCCTTTCACTCCGGACGGGACGTGAACCCACACCAATGAACACAAGAACCTCTCCGTTCGACCAGGGAGACTGCACATGGAAAGGTTTTATCTTTTGTCACAAGTAAGATACCATCATAACAGGGAACCTCAAAACACTTTTAGGCTAATAATTCAGAAGCGGCAGTGACAACAGGATCTGAGAAAATTTGCTTTTTAAAAGTTTTCCAAAGCCAATGGGAACATAAAACAGGTCTACAACTCTCTAAGAAGCAAGAAGCACCCAGTGAGAAAAGGGTTAAAGAGCTGAGAGCACAGGAAATTTGACTTGACTACAAATACAGATTTGCACAAAGCCGTCACTACAGAAACATGGAAAATGCTTGGTGGCAAACTCTTAAATATCGATCTCTCCCCTGCTGCGGGGAAACCAGACAGCACCAGCTAGCGGCCCTTTCCTATTTTGCACATAAAACGCTAACATCGGTGCGGAGAAGGAGAAGCGGGTACTCACAAACGGCAGCTGGCACCTCTGCACAGACCCGAACTGAGAGAAATACTCCTTGAGCTCCTCTGCGGAGGGGAAAGGCACACCTGGTCCCGCGGGCCGCGGCCGCCACCG